GATGGTGATAGGGGGAGAACGATACTGAGATGAAGATAGGGGAGGGTGGGAGGAAGTGAGAGCTGAGTGAGAGGGTGTGGGAGCGCGTGAAATAAGAGAAGAGAGAGAATGAGGTGTGGGAGCGGGACACGAGGGAGTGAAACACGGAGGAATTTGAGGAAGTGGGGTAGGAGATTTGATAGGGAGTTAGGAGGAGAGAGAGAGAGAGACTGATTAGAGAGGAAAACACAGGGAGAAAGCCAAATAACAAATTGACTGTTGTGCTGATATCTGACAGCTACAAATAGCGATAGGGGATAAATGGTGCAAGCTAAATAATATTAATATAAGATAATTAATAATACAAATAATAATAACAATAATAAATAACAAATATTAATTTAAAAGTTTTCACCGTAAAAAATTAAATTTATAATTATCAAAACCATTAAAATAAATATAAAATTAGATTTTAAAATCATAGAATATTCTAGAAAATCGAAAAATATAAATACTCTTTTAAAAATAATAATTTAATATTTAAAATACCAAAAAATTTATTTAAACCAGTATTAAAAATTTACGGTCATTACATCATACCCCCCTTAAAACAAATTCCGTCCTCGGAATTCAAAGTACAAGTGATGCACAAAGAACCCAAGGATAAGAATACAGGAATAAGGTCATAACATGCTATGACAAATGTGAGCAAGTGTTGAATGAGAAAATAGATATGTATGTGTATGACACAATAGATAATAATTCAAAAGAATTAAAAGTGAATAGTCAAGGCAAATATATAAAGCAAATCAAGGTCATAAGAAAGTCTGGTATGTAGTATAAATAATAAGAATGTAATAAGCATAACATAAAGAGAGCGAACACATAATTGAAAGAGATTGTACAAGCATAAATAAGCATGTATATTGTAAATAAATAGTTAATACGTATCAAATTATAATATAACGCAACATCTAGGCATAAGCAAAAATATAAGTATCAGACAACATAGTTTAATAGCAAAGAAGTCAACAACAAATATATAATTATAAAAATATATAATATCAACACGATATTAGTGATGTAGTATAATAAGACAAACACTAATGTTAAAACATAATCATCAACACAGAATTGGTAAAATGTAACAAATATATAGCATACAATATATGATATGATATATAAACACAAGTCAAATAATGATCAATCACTAGAATATATGGTAAAACGTATCAACTCAACAATATAAACACTACAACAAAACTGTTTTTTTATAGCGTTGAATGATAGTGTTTATATTGTAAGTGCTATAAATTGTATATGCCTTATTTTTTGATAGCGTTCGGAAAATTTTAAACGCTATGAGTAATAGTAGGCAATTTTTTTTGTTCCGACGGCTTGAAAACTTAAGCGCGAGACTAAAAATTAAAACAGGCTTCATTCGTCTCCTCCCTCTCCCCAATTTCATTGGTCCCGCCTCGAGAAAAAAAAACCCTAACCCAAAAAATTCCGCTGCCCTTAATCTTCTCCCTCAGACGCCCCACTCTCCCTCTCTCGTCTATCTCTCCTCTCAGATCTCTCTATCCGAGATCGACCCGATGGGAAGTACATCGAGAGGAGCTCGATGTACTTCATGGCGACGAGCTCATTTGTCTCCTTGTTCCTCATCACCCTCGCCACCCCGAAGTTCCCCGATCCAATGTCCCGATCTTTACAATTTTCTTGATTTTTTTCAAAATTTTTTGAATTTTCTTGGCGTTTTTTGGAGCAGATCTTAGCAAGAACCCTGTGGATGGATTCTCGGCTGGCTTGGTCGACGATGCCAATATCTTCGAGTGGAGCGTCACGATCATTGGGCCGTCCGATACGCAATAGTGAGTGATTCCTTTAGGATTACGATCTTATCCGTTGAAATTCGATTGGATCTCATGGTTTTGGCAATCTAGGGTTGTTTGCTGACGATAAAGTTAGGGTTTTGGTTGAGTTGTTTGGATTCAAGCTGTTCCTTATCTGTTTTGATGTGTCTTTCCCTTTGAAAATGCTGATGAAAATGCTGCTGGATATTGAGGATGAGCCAGTGTGGCATTCTGCGGAGGCAGAGGATGAGGATGCAGAGGAGATGAGGATGCAGAGGATGAGGATGAGCCAGTGTAGCATGAATTTGAATTGTCAATACTTTGGGTTATACAAATACAACTAACATCACATATTTTATTTCAGTTTATAAAGTGAGCTATAACATGTCCTAGTTTAAATGCACATGTTTATGAAATGATGTCTTCTTCCTTATCAATCTTTTTTTAAATGCAGGAAACATCTCATGAAGAACAAGCATGTAAGTTAATACTGCTATTTATTAATATTAAATAATTACTACTCCAGATTGCATTAGTTGACTTTCCTTCATAATAGAAAAACTTTAGGGAGAGGAAGCATGAATTTCAAAACTTTGTTACAAAGATAATCATTCTGGATTCCATGCTTTAATGGAGGAATTTATGGTTCTTCAAATCCAAGTTCAGGCTAAACCTTTTGGGAGTTTATGCCTTGCTTAAACAAAGAATTCCACGATCCAAGAATGACTTTATTCATCAAATTCAAGTTGATCTAGATCAAGTATTAACGAGGTCCAAGATATATTTTTCTCACAATCCAGAAGCATTCTCTTCTAATTTAGTTTTTAACATCAAATTTCTGAAGTTTTCATTTTTAAAGTAGATATGATGAGATACGAGTTTAGTGGTTTATAGAAAGGTCAAGAAAGCCTTTTACACAAGTTATTTTCTGGAATTTGGAAATATTACTATATTAGAGTAACAAAACAATGAGGGAGGCCCTGATTTAGATTCATCCTTGTAGGGATGTGCAAGGATGACATAATATTTGTGCCACTATCCCTTTTTGGCTTAGACTTCGTCACTCATAAGTAGTTAGATTGCTATCTTGGGTACCAATTTCAATCACCAATTTTTGTTATAGTAATGTCCAGGAGCATCCCTTTAGAATTTTGACTATGTTATTTACATTTTGACCAGCTCCTGATTGTCTCTTTTGTAATAGTGGCATGAAGATTCTCTCACAATTTATATCATTTTCCCGACATTCACACATCTTCACCATTATCTCATTTGGAGGTTCAACACAAGTTATCTGACTCAAGATTATTCATTTTTATGCTAGCTATATAAATTCTAGAATTGTGTAATCTTATGTTCACCTCTGTCTACCACAACTCTCATACCTTGCATTTCGAAGGCTGAACTCTAAATAGCAGTGATTCTCCATAATAAGTTTATAAGCTTGTTCCAAACTAGTCATCTATTTCCTGTCTTAAGGATTAAGCTTTAGATCTCTTGAAGGCAATGCTAAGACCCGAATCAGAATTTCGGGGAGTATGCAAACAGTGGGAAACTCTTGAAAGTCTAGCATGGTTCTCCTGTCTTTCTGCTTCCATTAGAAATACTCTACTCTTCTAGCATCATGTCATTGCTCTATTTTGTCTTCCCCTTATTCTACTTGCTTTGTAAAGTTCTTTTACAGTTTTCTTCTTCAAGTATATTTCCTGATATGAAAAAACCTTAATTTGGCTCATATGAGTTGTTAGGTATCTTGTTAATTTCTACTAAGAGTCTGTTGGGTCTTAGTGCTCACATATCATTTTGTACTTACCTTCATATGTAGAGTTTTCTCCTTAAAGTCTACCTTTGTTTCCAATTCTCATTATGTAATAAAGTTTTTGTTATCAATGCTTTCCAGAAGTTGCTTTCTTTGGATATTGACGTGTGACCTGCTTCTTTATGTTGTCAATATTTTCATTGCCCTTCTGCTGTATTAACTCAACAGGCACATGCTGCTTCAGCTGTTCTGAATTTCAGCGAGAACTGCACACCTGATATTCTGACACCATACTTGGATGGAATTGTTAGCAAATTGCTTGTTTTGCTACAGGTATGCAGTTTTATTTTATCTATTCCTCCAACTCCAAATTGTTATTTGTTCATCTGGAATATGGATGTCGTAAAGTGTCCAACATATATTAAAACATTGCTTTTTTTTTTCTAGAATGGGAAACAGATGGTACAAGAGGGAGCTTTAACAGCTTTGGCATCTGTTGCAGATTCTTCTCAGGTATATTGGATAAAAAGTATTACAGATTTTTACTGTTTATTTTATATTTCTTTCATTGACTTCTTTATATCACATATGTGTGCAGGAACACTTCCAGAAATACTACGATGCTGTCATGCCTTATCTGAAGGCTATTTTGATGAATGCAACTGACAAGTCCAATCGTATGCTACGTGCTAAATCCATGGAGTGTATTAGTTTGGTGGGCATGGCTGTGGGGAAGGAGAAGTTCAGGGATGATGCTAAACAGGTACTGGCTTCTCTTTCCTCCATATTGCTCCTGCAATTATCATTTTCAAAAGGTGTGGTATGAGATCCTAGATGATTTTAGAACTACTGTTGTTAGTCATGATCTGCATATTACTTGTATATTCAATTATTCTGCAACTGTTTTCTTGTTAGGTGTGCATTTTTTTTCAAAATTTTCTGAGTTTTCTTGGGTTTTTTTGGAGCAGATCTTAGCAAGAACCCTGTGGATGGATTCTCGGCTGGCTTGGTCGACGATGCCAATATCTTCGAGTGGAGCGTCACGATCATTGGGCCGTCCGATACGCTATAGTGAGTGATTCCTTTCGGATTGCGATCTTTTCCGTTGAAATTCGATTGGATCTCGTGGTTTTGGCAATCTAGGGTTGTTTGCTGACGATAAAGTTAGGGTTTTGGTTGAGTTGTTTGGATTCAAGCTGTTCCTTATCTGTTTTGATGTGTCTTTCCCTTTGAAAATGCTGATGAAAATGCTGCTGGATATTGAGGATGAGCCAGTGTGGCATTCTGCGGAGGCAGAGGATGAGGATGCAGAGGAGACGAGCAATCACAGTGTCGGACATGAGTGTTTGGATAGAATCTCAGTTGCATCGGAGTTGCTGCCGGCTTATATTGCAGCTCCCGAGTGGCAGAAACATCATGCTGCTTTGATTACACTTGCACAGATTGCAGAAGGTTGTTCAAAGGTAACTGGAAGTTTAAATTGATTATTGATTGAGAACTTGGTGCTTTTTTGCAAACATAGTATATAGTTTATGCTGTGTCTGTTATGTAGGTCATGATTAAGAATTTGGAGCAAGTGGTGCACATGGTCTTGAACTCATTTCAAGATCCACATCCAAGAGACCTGAAAAAGTTCATGATGGTTCTATTTTAGCGCAGCAGCACCACGATACTGTACGCGAATTGATGCACCACCGGCTTGATCATCCGTGCGAATTTGTGATGCTTTGATTTCATCATCTTCTGTTAGCAAACAAAAGTTCTTCATGGCTAATATATACTGACCTAGAATCTGTATTAGTACCCCTATGATTCTTTTTGCATAAGCCACTTCGATGTTTCCAAGGGAGAGACTTATCTTTTTTGATGCATTCTTCAGCTATTCTAGTTCACTTGGTTATTTGTGGAAGTCCTAGTTTTTTGAGAAAAAATAGGAATGTAATTACAATATAAGTCCAGGAATTAAGATTTATATTATGTTATAACAAACTTGAATGTGCATGCATCAGTTGTTCTAGTCCACTCGGCCATTTGTAAAACTTAGTTACTTGAAAAAGATTAGAAATGTAATTATGATGCACATGCACGAGCACCTATGATAGAAGTTCATGAAATAATTAGATTTATATTATGTTATAACAAACTTGAATATAATATAGTTGTGCACACTTAGATACATCTGTGTAATCATTTTATTTTTCATCTATTAAACCATTTTGCAAAATCTTGTATTTTCCTTTGCGAATTTACCAGGTACATTGATAGCAAACCAAATCACTGGCATCCTAATTACAGCGTTGTGGTCAAGGGCATCGAGGAAGTTAACAAGATGAGCTTGACATTATGTGTTAAGCATTTTTGTCTAGACTTGACACTATTATGGAGATTTCAACAGCACTATGAATATAATTGACTTGCTTGATAGGTAACTCTCTGCTTGTTTATCGATCTTTTAGGTTTCATGGCAAATCTGTATCTTGCCAAACATCTTGTTTTTGGTCGGAAATCAAGTGGCAATTTGGCAATTTCTAGAGGCGGATATCGAGTGGATGTGTTATATTTCCTTCATATCAAGTGGACAAGCTTGGACATGTTTTTACTTTTTAGTGTTATCTATGTTGATTTTTGCAATTTGAAATGATGAACATAGGTGCATATCTTCCAGTTGATTCCACATCCACAATATGATCAGGTTCTTCAACCATATTTACATGCCTCATATTTGAACTTAAGGCCTCATGATACAGTATCAGGCACATTTTTATTTATTGGCATGTTAAAATTTTTGCCTTTCGAAATATTTTACTTGCTTGGCCTTGTCAATTCTAATATTTGGTTGCAAAATTACATTTCGAGTTAAGTTCTTCATGGCTAATATATACTGAGCTAGAATCTGTATTACTTGCTCCCCAAGATGGACCAGTTCTTTTCGAAATATTTTACTTGCTCCCCAAGATGGACCAGTTACAAAGTTGTTATGCTTTGAAAAGCTGGTAAGTTATACATCTTGCAATCGTGTGTTTTTACTTTATCATGTTTGTTATAGTTGTAATTTTGGTGTTGTTAATTTCTGTTTTTGCAGCAGTACTAGTACTCAATTTCTGAAGATGATGAGCCTCCCAAGTCATATGTAATGCAACGAAGTTAGTTTTTGTTGTTCTGTGTACTATGGTTAATTTCTTGTACTCCATGTTGGATTATCCAAAGACTAGTATTTGTTTTTTGGCACATTTGTGTTGACTCTTCTTGTATGCTACAACTTGGTTATGTATCAGTTTGAACGTTTAAATGAAATATTTGCTTTTATGGTTGTCACAATTGGAAGTTATTTCTAGTTCAACCTCTAAAGGTTTATAGGCACAACTGAAATGCTATAAGAAGTGGAAACAATTGTTGAAATGCTATTAAAAGAAGAAAGACAACATTCATTAAAACGCCATTGTAGTAACTCAAACGCTATCAAATGTAATACAATAGCAACGTTGAAATGCTATGAATGAAAACTAACTAATAGCGTTTTTCAACCGCTATGAAATATATTTGTCATAGCAATATAGAAACGCTATGGAATACTCTTTTATAGCTACATAAAAACGCTATGGTTGGAAACTAACTAATAGCGTTTTTCAACCGCTATGAAAGATATTTGTCATAGCAATATAGAAACGCTATTGAATACTCTTTTATAGCTACATAAAAACGCTATGGTTGGAAACTTTTTGATAGCGTTTGGGGAAACGCTATGTAAAGCCACAGACCTACTATAGCGGGTTCTGACACAGCGTTGATTAAAACGCTATGAAATAATACCATAGCATTTTTCGACCGCTATGGTAGATTTCAGGTGTTGTAGTGAAATAACAAAGAAGGTAAAAAGATAAAAATCTCAACAAAATATAATAATCTTTCGTAAGCGGATGATAAACATGATAATTCACAAAACACAAATACACACTATAAATAACAGATGAATCATATACAAGCAAAATCAAAAGAAACAATTGAAGATTAGGTAAGCAAAACAAAACAGCAATGAATTAAACGTATATATAGTTTAGATAAATATAATGTACATCATAAGAGACATGAAATAATAATAAAAATATATCAAATTTCAATAGAAATATCATACAATCAGTTAGTAGAATAAATATCCAAGATATACAAAAGTATAATTACAAACAAAACACATGATTGTAATCAGTAAATTGCATTCAACCAAATAAGACACATAAGTCACAAATATCGAAAATAAGGAATTACAAGTACGTTAAAAAGTTCAAAGATAGTATTGTAGCAACAAATGTTTAAAGCAGTCAAAACATAACACACGTAAACAAACATAGATATAACAATCAAACAATGGTAAACAGTAAGGATAGAATCATGATGACAATAAATGGTGAAATTACGAAAATACAGATATACAAATAAATAAATATCAATATTCAAAGAGTCATAAAAATAAATGGTGAAATTACGAAAATACAGATATACAAATAAATAAATATCAATATTCAAAGAGTCATAAATAAATGAAACACGTAATATTACTAGAAAAGCACAAGATATAATACGAGAAGGCAGAACAAATCAGACAGAAAGGCAATAAGGATTACAATAAGGTATACAAAACATACATAATCACAATTGAAAATAACATTAAGTAAAAGAAATAAACATAGATAAAAACACATCAATACATATAGACAACAACAAAGGCAAATCATAACAATAATCAATAGCAGAATGAAATGATACTCAATAATTATTAGCATACAACAATTTATATAACATAAAGTAAATAATGTAAAATCATAGATAGGTTCAAAGAAACACAAATAAAATCAAAGCATAAAATAAAAGATATCAAAGCAAAAATATAAACAAGATTCATAAACATATGGTGTGTATAACAAATATAATCATCATGTATAATAAGCGTTAAAATGAAAACACATACATAAAAATAAGCATATAAAAGTCTAAATACTCATAGTACTAATCATGCTATAAAGATAAATTATGATAAAAAGAGTCACAAAATATTATATGATAAAATAGACGTAAGAGTAAACAAGCGATTCAAAATAACATATTATATAAAACATAATAAAAGAACATAATTATATATATTCGACAAACAATATGATAAATCAGAAATATTAGTAATATTCATAAAGTAAAATAATAAATATAAACAAGATACAACAATAATAATCATTACTGTATAAAATCAATTCAGATGTAGCAATGTATTGCATAGTAGTCAAAATCACATAAATTCGTATAATAAAAACACCGATATATTTTAGATATCATACCATGAATGATTAATGACATGTGAACATAAACACTGATAATACATGAAACAGAACATGATTAGACAAAGTCGATAAATAACTATAAATTAATAAAAATATACATCGTAAATATAATAATATACGTGAAACACTATAATAAAAAGAGAATAGTAAGTATAAAAGAATGAAAAAGTAAAACACAACACAAAGTAAACGAAAATAATGAATAGAGAATGAACAACAACAATGACACAATAAAAGGACATAAAATCTAAAATCACTATAAAATAAACACTGAAAAATAACATGCGTATACAATGTATATTGCCACACTTACAAAATAATATATATCGAAACTGAAGCAAACAACAACGAATATGCAAATGCACTATAAACAACCCATGAGTAAATATTATATATACCCACAACCGTTATTTAGAATTATCTTTTATAATATAAAAGAATAATAATTAATGTAACAAAAACCTATATAATTAGTAATTCAAACTCTAATCCTAACAATATGAATAATGACTCGAATATCAAAATAGAAAATACATTGTTCTTAGAAATAACGAAACCAATGCGAACATATTAAAACAATCTAACAAGACAAAACTTACTGATAAGAAACTATATACTGAAAATGTAAAGGATAAGAATATAGCGCATGTGTAGAATATTAAATTCATGAACTTATTAAAATATATTACTAAAAATACGAACAATATATAATAGTCTAAAACATAAGTAAATAACAGGTGGTATGACAGATAAGCGCACACATACACAATATAAATATGCAAAAGTATATTTTAAACACAAGAAAATAATCTGAATATCAGATATGCTATGTAATGTGTGTGTGAAGCCTAGAGTAATGTAAAACACTTAATAACATGGTTTGAACAATTAAAATATATAAGTAATGATATATATTTTTATTAATAAAAACATACAATATAACACTGTGTGTGATACATAAAATAATATAAAATAATGCAAAAATCAATACAATTAAACGATATATATAGTCAAATCAAAAAAAATATAGTTGTAAAAATAATAACACAAAAAATAATGATCGGAACGAGGATAGATGAGAGTTACAAAGAGAGGGTAATCGCGAAGTGGTAGGACAAGAACCGTGAAAACTCTGGAGTCAAAGAGTGATAAGATATTGACGAAACGAAATCTATCAAGAATATAAGATAAGGGCTCAAGAATAGTCTCACGGATGAAATCATGATATGTATCTAAATTGTCTACTATATTCTTACTAGTGAGGACTCGGGACTGTGATCGAAACCGTGACCTGCATGGGCCACCACTAAAACCTGTCACGCCCCGCTTCCCAAAATACACGGGAATCGGAACGTGAACAAGCCCGCAACGTATTAGATCAAGGAGAATAAATAAAAATAAATGTTTCTCCTCAACCTAATACGCTAAACGTATGGAAATAAGTACAATGCGAAGTTACAGGTCGCCGATCACAATCAGCAAGAATATAATAGACAACCCCAGAATAAAATATTACATATCACAATGAATATTCATCCCAGACATAATAATCGGATCAACATGCCCTTATACAAACTATCTGAATGAAATACTGGAGAATATAAAAACACACTGATCAAATGAAAGTAAAAGGTAGTACAAAAGAAAACTGAGGACCAATAACTAAGCTTTAGCTTCTTCTTCTGCTCCATCCGCTAGGCACTTCTGCTGAGAATTCTCTGGCTCCTGATGATTTCCCAGCTGAATCTGTTCTTCCTCTAAGTCTGACGTACACCAGAGAAAACAGGTGTACGTCAGGTGCATGGCGCACGGCAAGACCCGACCCCACAAAGAAAATAGAACGAACGGAAATCCAATATGTCTCAAATTATAGATAATTAAATATTAACCCCGATCTATGTATGAAAATAACACCACTGGCCTACATCTCACAAGAAGTCATACTTAGCTAAGATTCGAGGTCATGTAACTAACCATCCTATCTCAACTCACTGGTCCACATCTCACACAGAGTCAACGCTCCTGTCATCGGATAACTGGCTGTTCACAAATCCCCTACGCGCATCCAATACCGCTACACGAATCGGTCAGAGGACTACACGCAATCCGATCTCGGCCTGGTCCGAACTCAGGCAAAGCTCAGGTGACTACACAAATTCACTGACTAAAGTGACTACACGAATTCACTTTAGCCCAACAAACCAACCCCAGTGACTACACAAATTCACTGGCGCGAGCCTGGAAGATACATCAACAGCCTTATCCGATCACATGAACATGGACTTCCTCATCCCAACTCTCTTGTATTTTCTAAGTCAAACATAATCCACATTGAAACTCGGGTTCACCACCTAAACTCAGTCAACACACCCACACATGTCACTAGGTCTGTTCATGACACACGAGGCCACTAAGTCATGAACTACTAAGGGTTCTCAAACACAATAGGAAACAATAAGTACAACCAATCATGCGCAACGATATCATGGCATATCACATAATTAAAATGAGAATCACACATTCAAAAATAATCCTTTAAATTAATAAATTTATTTACTTCAAAATGATTTCCTTATCCAAAATAAATCTTTTATTTCTTATTATAATTACCCAAAAATAATTCCATTTTTCAAAATAACTCCTTTTAAATAATTCTAAAAACATTCTTTTTAATATTTCCTCTTACAAAATAATTTCTTTCCTAATTAAAATTAATCTAAAATAATTCCCTTTTCAAAATAAATTCTTTTAATTTATTTATAATTATTCTAAAAATATTCTTCTTCCAAGATAGTTTCTTTTAAATTATTATAATTATCTAAAATGATTCCGTTCTCAAAATAAATTTTTTTAAATTAGCATAATTATCTAAAAATATTTCCGCTGCCAAAATAAATTCTTTTAATTCATTATAATTATTCTGAAAACGTCATTTATCATAATATTGTGATTTACTTAATATTATTCACCAAACAATCCCACGCAGATAACTATATCCCAAACTAAAAATGCAGAAATTCATAACCTCATCAACAAGCCCACGCAGATAATTATATCAGTCTAAAAATACTTGATAAAATACAAGATGAGCAAGGGATCTTGCCTAGGGGTTTCGTCGAACGAGTCGACGTCGACGACGCGGGTCGGATCTGAGCACGGGTGGAGCGCGACAGATCTGAGGAAGAACTCCGACGAGCGCTGAACGTCGACGGCGTTGACGGCTGGAGCGGCTGGCTCGGGGCGGCTGGCTCGGGACGGATGGCGGCGTCGGGGACGAGCACGGCAACGGGGCGGCGACGAGGAAGGCAACGGGGATCTGGTTCGGGCTGGGTGGTACAAAAGGGGGCATGCTGGAGACGGTGAGGCGGTGCTGGAGGTGGGAGGTCGTCGGGATCTGAGAGAGGGCGGGAGGAGGAGGCGGTTCTGGTGGAGGGCGTGAGCGTTGGTGGAGCTCGTCGGCGAGGGGGTCGACGTGAAGAATGGGGCGCTGTCGGGGGCGTCAGGCGCAGGCGGCGGTGGTGATGGGTCTGGACGTTCGTCGGAGAAGAGGAGAGGAGCGACGAGGAGGTCGGAGCGGCGGCTTGGAGCTCGAGAGAGGGGTCTCGGGAGCTGGGGCGGCGGACCTGGGGCTGAGCGGCGACGACGCGTTTCAGGGAGAGGGGCGGTCGGACGAGCAGCGAGTGGGGCGGTCGGAGCTGGGCGAGGCGGAGCTCGGCCGAGGCGATTCGAGGGAGTGGCTGCGTCGGCCTGGTGCCGTCGGTCAGTGGAAGAAGGGGCTCGGGTTCTTGGGTTCGTGGTGCTGGCAGCGGCGCCGGCGGCTCGTCGGAGCTGCAGGCGGGGTGATGGTGATAGGGGGAGAACGATACTGAGATGAAGATAGGGGAGGGTGGGAGGAAGTGAGAGCTGAGTGAGAGGGTGTGGGAGCGCGTGAAATAAGAGAAGAGAGAGAATGAGGTGTGGGAGCGGGACACGAGGGAGTGAAACACGGAGGAATTTGAGGAAGTGGGGTAGGAGATTTGATAGGGAGTTAGGAGGAGAGAGAGAGAGAGACTGATTAGAGAGGAAAACACAGGGAGAAAGCCAAATAACAAATTGACTGTTGTGCTGATATCTGACAGCTACAAATAGCGATAGGGGATAAATGGTGCAAGCTAAATAATATTAATATAAGATAATTAATAATACAAATAATAATAACAATAATAAATAACAAATATTAATTTAAAAGTTTTCACCGTAAAAAATTAAATTTATAATTATCAAAACCATTAAAATAAATATAAAATTAGATTTTAAAATCATAGAATATTCTAGAAAATCGAAAAATATAAATACTCTTTTAAAAATAATAATTTAATATTTAAAATACCAAAAAATTTATTTAAACCAGTATTAAAAATTTACGGTCATTACAGTTTTTAAAGCAAGCAACTTCATTTATGCCTCATTTGGTACGTGGGCATAAAGTCAAGTGAGAATGGAATAGAAGAAGGAATGAAATGGAATATATGTGAGAATGGAATGGTCATTCACATTCTCTTCTTTGGGTGCGTTTGTAGAATGAAGTTAGAATGAAAATCTAATTCTCATTCTCATGTTTGGTATCACTAGTTCACAAGTGAGAATGGAATCTTATTTTCTAATAATGCCCTTATAACAACATAGATTTTTAATAAGATAAAAATAAACATTAATGATAATAACTAAAAAAATTATTTATGCATATGTTATATTAATCTAGGTATGTGTGATACTAATGCGCATGTTATCGATCAGGTGTATGTTTCGTTTATATTTTTTAAACAATTCTCACTATTTCTGCATATGTTATATTAATCTATGTATGTGTTATAATAATGCCCTTATACCTCTATATATAGTCTGGACATGATATGATTTTGATAATTTTAATATTTTGGCCAATTTCCCAGCGAGAGTTTCCTCTTTTCATAAATATTGGGTCAAATATTTTTCAATCAAAAGTTAGATTTATTGTTGCGCATGAACTACAATCAAACATGTACGCAATGGGTACATATAGTTCTCTATGGTGGGAAAACAATAGCAAAAGTTTAAAAATAATATAATATGCTGGTGAAAATAACAGACTTTAAACATTGGTGAATAAACAAAAAAATTTGATTGACCAAAAAAATATTGACATGAAAGAATTTCAATCGGCAAATAATATATAGTTTCAGTTGTATCTGTTTTTATATTAAATATTGTGTTGCTTCTATGTTGAGCAATTGTGATATAATAGGTTAGTGAAATATGTACCGCTAGTTTTAATATGCTACTGAAATATGTACCACTAGTTTTAATCCCTACCCCGTAAAAAATTCCTATTGTTTGAATATAATTAGTAGCTGAGAGAAAATGAGAATACGTAGTCAAAAGCCATGATTTTTAAATTGATTCTTATTATTAATAGTGGTATAATTAAAAAAACCTAACTAATTTGATTCTCCCCTTGAATGGGAATGATCATTCCCTATCTTTTCACTTGGAATGCTCATTCCCACAAAAAGTGGGAATCACCACTCCCATGGAATGGTCATTCCAACATCTAAAAACAAGTTTTATTTGGTATGAAGGAATGAGAAGTGAGAATGACATTCCATTCCACATCATTCCCGCGTACCAAACGGGGCTTTATAGTGTGTGTCCGTACAAGAAGGAGAGGCGGTATCTTGTATCACAAGATCTGGAGGTAAAATAAATCTATAAATATTACTTAATCTTTTTTATAATTATATTTCTTTATGGAAAAGTAGACATGGTATAAATACTGTCCTCTAGATATCGAGATAAAATAAACATGTAACTCCTTGATCTATAGAATAAATAAACTAATAAATATTCGTAAGCTCCTTGATTGTTTTTCCATGGAGTTTATAAATCAACTAGCACGTGCAATGCAGCTGTAAGAAACGATACAAATGCTAACTAGGCAATTTTAAGTTCGTGCTATTGAATCCACAATTAAGATTTTTTTTAATAATATGAGTCAGAGTTCATGGGCATGCTTTTTAATTACTCCCAACCAAGCTGCGTTAGATCTACCTCCTTGTCACATGGACTCTCACATGGACTATAATTTTATCATTTCTGATAGTGAAAAATGATCCAGAGGTATAGATTGTATATTATGTCATCATCAAACATTTGCTAAAGCATTAATTATCTTTTGAATTATTAATGGCATTAATTATCTTTTGAATAATTAATGGCATGAATAATTAATGGCATTAATTATCTCTTTGAATTATTAATGGCAGCAAATCCACTAAATGATATAACTGTGAGCCCAATAGGCCAAATAAAAAAAGCCAATAACAATGAGTAACGGGCTTCAAACTTAAAAACTCAATAAAGCTCAGGTTACTACCTCACTACTTGGGCGGTTCGTGTACGGTGGCCCAATATTGAAGATTCTTTCGTTCAAAATCGCAAGTCATTGACGATTAGCTCTTATTTTGTCTTTTTCTTAACATAAAATACTGTTTTATTAATGTACTTACAAGTTATGGACAGCAAATGTCGCCTCATCCTTGATTTCCGAAAAAAAGAAACTTTAGCCGCTGAAAGTAAACACATGAGGAAGTAAACTCGTCTCTTTATCTTGCTATTATAAGCAACATGCTTAAGAGAAAAAGTAACTTGTTTATGGGATTAAGCAATCTCTAAAAAGATGTTTAGTGGTTACATGATCTGCTTATGAGCATTTAGCAAATTTGGATCATAATCCACTTGGCTAATAATCGACAAATAGCATATAAGCCAAGCGGATCAAGCCCAAGTGTTCAATAAATTTAGTGAATTATAATGTATTTTTAGTGGTAGAATGTTTGACAAATGTGGGGCTTGTAAGCCATTGTTATTATCAAAAGTGATCAAAAAGCATTTAATGAGGATGAAGAGAGATAAATGGTACTTAGAATGTATATTATTTATGAAATGTTGAGGAGTATATTTGTTTTTTATTTGGTCAGACTTTGTGACTTATTAGTTACCAAAAAATAAGCAAATTAATTTTTAAAAATTTAGATAATTAGAATGGTAATGTAAAGTAGAGCCTAAATTTATGGTAGGATGTATGAGAAGGGAATGTGAGGTGAGATGAGGTGTAAAGAAGGATGTATCTTTTATGTTTTTTTGGGGGGTCAGAGTGGGAGTAAGAAAAGATACATAATTTTAGTTTAATTTTTATTTTCTCTCACATTACTATGTGTTTCTCTCACCTCACTTTTGTATCCCTCCAAATTGAAAGGATTTTTCTTTTTTTATGATTATAATTCTTTTTTACTCTCTCTCCTCACCTTACCTCGTACCATCTTATCTTTTTCTCCAAAAAAAATCTTTCTATTAAGGAGGAATTTTAATTTTGTCTCCCCTCCTCATTCTACTTACTTTCATGCCAAATCAAGCCTTAAAGCAAGTGCAGCAGGCTCTCACCCCTGCTCTCAACGCTGAGGTGGCAGTGGGAGCCTGCTGCAAACACCCTAGCAAGCTCCTAAGAGGTCTCTTTAGGCTGATGTGAACATCATGTAGGAGGTGGGGCCCAGTTGAGCTCCCAAGCGCTCCACAAATTTGTAGAGGGCTTGGGAGCTCCTAAGGAATAAAAAAATAATTTTTTTACACAAAACCCTGTTTTTAGCCGACAGCTAAGATTTTTTACACAAAAACCTAATTTTACAGAAAAACCTATGTGATGTGGCATTGAGAGCTTTTGAGAGCTCTCCGACAAACACTCCTAACTAGGGGTTTACTGCACTTGCTCTTACTATTAACTCTATTAAAAAAACTTCTAAATATAAATGGATAACATCTTTTCACAAGTGAGAGTATGATTCACGTCTAGTCCTTGGACTTACTCTTCAACTCTATCACCATTTAATTGTTGAAAGACATGACTTCGGTATGTCATATCTAACCAAATGCAATAAACTAAAGTTGAATTGACAGTTTCTCAGAGTTTTCATTCCGTGGATGCAATATTTTTGATAAGACAAATTAATGATTCTGTGAGTAGGGGGGAAAGGCAGGGATGATATAACAAATATTAATCACATAATACTTTCTCTGTATTAAATTAAGAATACCGCTATTCATACTACTCTCTTAGGGCATCTCCAACCATACCCTCCAAATTTTACCATCCAAATTGGAACATTCTAGGAATATTCTAATTTGGAGGGTGAAATTTGGAGGGTTGCCCCAACCCACACTCTCCAAATGTTTTTATTTTTATTTTTTTTATCAAAAAAACCATATAAATTAAATAATGTTGGATATAGTTTACGTTAATAATTTTATTGTTAATAATTTATTTGGGAAAAAAAATTATGACATTATAAAGGTGTCGATGGGAGCTTTAAAATAAACCCAATATTAATACTGTAATACAACATATTAAAAAAGAAAAAATTCTGAAATAACAGTGAAAGCATACATCGATAGAACAAGAAAGCAAATATTAACCTCTAATACAACATACCATAGGTCGTAAACATAAACCTCAAACATAAAATATGATAAGAGATAATTAAAATTCTAGCAGGTCATTATCGTTATAACTACCGGTTCCATCCCGATCTCTCGAAGAACCACCATATTCATTTCTTCCTACAGAACCAGCTTCTCCTGCAAATTGAGAAAATCCTCCTTGATTTCCAGTGGGAAATTCATATTCGTTTTGTCCTCCTACAGCTCCTCTAAGAAGATCAGAAAATCCTCTTGGCCCTCTGGAGGAAAATCCATAGTCGAATGATGGAGCTCTATATTCCTTTCTATAAATAATTTCCTTTTTTTTGTTGATAGTAAGCACGTTCACTTTGATCAACGATCTTACTGAGATCAGTCAACATAATTTGTCTATCCTCGCTTTCACGAAGGAATGTAATTTAAATATTATAATTTATATTTGTATTTTCTTATGAAGCAAGTTAAATAGATCCCCGTATTTAAAATTCCATGTCTGATACTTATTTATTTAATTTAAAAATCAATAATTTTATAATAATACTAAAATAAATTAATATTAGTTTCATTTTAAAGATCTCAACGAGCGCTTTCCAAATATATAATGATTTCAAATATTAGATTAATAATTTTTTAACTATATTTATTTAAAATTAAACATCTAATTTAAATTACTAAGAAGGATGGCAAAGTGGTAATTTTTAAGAAATCAAATAGTTAAACATCTAATTTAAATTACTAAGAAGGATGGCAAAGTGGTAATTTTTAAGAAATCAAATAGTTAAAAATAGTAAATTGTAATTAATAAATCATGAATAGTGTTATGGAGAGACCCTCCATTTTTTCTCCTCACCCTCCAAATTTGGAGGGTCAAATTTGGAGATCTCCAAATTTGGAGAGTGGTTGGAGAGGTTCCACTCTCCAAATTTGAAGATTTTGGAGATATGGAGGGT